ACAAGGAAAGTTGTTTAGTAGTTCGGATGGGACGAAAAAACGAGGTCCTGTGTATACATGGGCGTGCATGAAAAAGATCCCCTGGCAGATGAAATTCGATATAAGAGTAGGCCATAGTGACGCTGTCCGGGCAAAATTTCCCTCATAGCACACTGTATGGCGTATGACCGTCTTCATTAGTCCGGTTCGGAGCAGAACAGTAGGACGTTAAACCCCATTTCATTTCATTTCATTTCTTGTCAACAATAACATATCAGTTTAATGCCCAGAGAAAAACAAGGTACACTATAATTTGATCAATCGGTGTCAGTGGTCTTAAAATAAAATGGGGTTTAACGTCCTACTGTTCTACTGTTTTCGGATGGGACGAAAAACTGAGGTCCCGTGTATATTTGACGTGTACGGAAAATTAAGATCCCTTGGCAGTTGGAATTCGATATAAGAATAGACCATAGTGCCGGTGCCCGGGCAAAATTTTCCTCATAGCAAACTATATGGCGTATGCCCGTCTTCATTAGCCCATCATAGGGCAAAACATTAGGCCGTTAAACCCCATTTCATTTCATTTCGTAAATCACCCTGCGCTCAAACTCTCTTATATCAAGTTGAAGGGGATTAGACGTAACGCTGGGGGAGTGGGGGGGGGGGGGTCGGGTGACTTGTGGGTCTAGAGTGTCGCGCTACGAGCACTAGCTGGTCGGTAACCTCAGCGTGAGCCTATGTAGCTTGGAGATAGGGACGCGCGCATTCTTAGACTCAGGATACACCCACGGGAAAGACCCCTGCGTGTGCGCTAAGATGATAAAAATAAGTTTTATCTTGTCTAGCGGACGTTAAACACTAATAAAAGAAGACGCGATGTTACGTGTAGGTACACTATAGCCAGAGAGCATGAAAGGTGCGCGTGTGTGCACGTGTGCGTAGAGGTAGTGGGGTAGGAAATTGACGCATTTGCTTGCGCGGGGAGTCTTTAACAGTTGTTAGAGGGTGGTCCCAGAGAAACCCACGTACTTGCCATGTAAGCTTGGGATCATAACTTGACTTAAATGAAAATCCTTATGATCTAAAGCGCACACGCTGGGCCACTCGAGCTAGGGAGAGAGAGAGAGAGAGAGAGAGAGAGAGAGAGAGATGGGATTTAACGTTCACTTGACACAAACTAGGTCATCTCGGGACTAACATATGGTTAAATTTTATTTTAATAATTCGCTTGCGCGCAGGGGTATTTAGCAGTGGCAGTAAACCAGGTGACTCGGAGAAAACCCAAAAGGTTGGACAGGTGACACTACTCCTTGTCACGTACAACCGGGGAATCGAAACCACGCTAGTTGACTCAATGACAAACCTTATGATACAACGCGCACCACTAACCATTCGGCAATCCACCCAACCCCACCCCCCGCCAACACATGGAGGGAACCCAAGAACCATCGATAAGGGTATACCAGAAAACCCGGAATCATGATGTTATATAAATTTCCAGTTATACATTCAAATTGTTATCCAGCTGACTCAATAACAGACCTTATGGTTTGTAAACACAGGAAATATAATAGACATTAAGGATGATTAGAGTTGATTATATTTCCTACATAATTATGTCTTCCTCAATAGAACACAACAAACAGCTAAACCTGATGTATTAAACACCGTGCTAGTGAATGATAGAATGATAATTGGTCGATAATATATTGTTATCTAGCGTTAATGGTAAACTCGTCATTTGTAAATCTATTCGTCAGGCCCGTCAGCTATCACAAAGGACTAAATACACGTCTGTGATATCACCCCAGCGGAAGCGGACGTTAAATAAATATAAATGAACTGGATCGAATCTCACGTCCTCTTTTAAATGATCAGTCCCTGATGTGGGGGTGGGGGTGGGGGCAGATGTTTTTGTTGATAAAGAGGTTTTAAATATGGACAAATAGTCCAAATACCTTTCCCTAAAGTTTCCTGGCGGCTGTTTACTTTGATTAAATATTTTCAGACAATGTAATTTTGGCGTTTGTTTACATACTTAAACCACATTTTACTTACGAAATATGACTCTTTAATCCCACGCATTCACAAAATACAGAATGCGCGGTTGACTTTCAAATTTTAACCAAAAAAAAATATTGAAATAAAAACCATTGAAATGAAATGAGGTTTAAGGTCATATTTTCTGCACCAGCCGAGGACATACATCGTGCAGTGTGCTATAGGAGACAGATTCCAGTATCCACTAGGCCATTTCGGGACTAACATATGGTTCAATTTTATTTCATTGCGCGTAGGGATCTTTAGCATGGGGGGGGGGGCGGAGAACCCGGAGAAAACCAATGAGGTTGGACAAACGAACCTACTACTTGTGACGTACAAGCGGGGAATCATTGAGAAATCTAATGATGCAAAACCCACCCCGTCAGCAAACCAGACAGGAAACAATTTAAAGAATCCGCTAAATATCGCAGTCTAACGATGGCATGGAGACTTGATTATGGTCTGGATAAGTTAATTAATATCAAATTATTAATTTAGATAACATTTCAGGCCTGAAGAAAGACATGCAATAGGCAAATTTAGCTCTTGCATAATGTATGTTTAAGTAAGTTTTTTCAATCGGGAATTTTCAGGGCGCCCCCCCCCCCCCCCCACACACACACACTTGTCAGTAGTGCGAGACGCCGGGCCTGGCAAGGAACAACGTATAGATGTTCGTGAGGGGCGAAAAACCGAGGTCTAATATACACATTGGCGTGCGCGTAAAAGTACTATTGAGAGTTGAAATTCGTTATAAGAGTAAGCCGTACCATTTATGTCTGGGCAAATTTCTCATCAGCACAGTGTATGGCGTATGCGCATTCTTCATTAGCCCAGTCGGGACAGAACAGTAGGACGTTAAATTCCTTTTCATTTCCTACTCTTATATCAAATTCCAACTGACAATGGTCTTTTACGTGCCCGCCAATGTATACACGTGACTTTGGTTTTTCGTCCCATCCGAACGACTAGACAGCTCTCCTTGTCGGGCCCTTTATCCTCCACCACTGACAAGGGGAAGCCACGTCGGAAAATCCAGATGGACTTTCTCGGCCAGGCTAGCGAGCCAGCGTCTTACTCACTTAGCCACGGTGGCTATGTGAAATTATGCTAAACATAGTGTAATAGACCAAGATATTCTCGTGTGGTATAATAGACATATGTATTGCCGTATTGTCAGTGTTATAAGTAACGCCTGTCACAACAAGACAGTTCGCCAAGTGATAATGCCATGGGCAGGAGGTCGCCGTGGGATTATGGTTGTTGTCACAGAGACAATCATTTCGTAGCATTCAATATTCGTGGACAGTTTGATATAACGATGCGTTCAGAATCAACTTTGACTACAACCTGTCTAGCCATCTTTCTCCGACAACCTACGTTTTACGAGCTTTGTGCTACAGTTTTGTATAAAGTGCTACACTTTGTATAAAGTGCTATTGTTTTGTATAAAGTGCTACAGTTTTGTATAAAATGTTACAGTTTTGTATAAAGTGTTACAGTTTTGTATAAAGTGCTACAATTTTGTATAAAATTCAACCATCTTAAACTATGAAAGTCACAGAACAAAATGAAACGAAATGAAATGAAATAGGGTTCAACATCCTCCTGTTAATGCCATTCAGTGCGCTACGCCCTACTCTTATCTAAAATTCCAACTGCCAATTGATCTTGTACGTACACGCCAATGTGTAGGCTACGCGGGACCTCGTTTTTCCTTCCCATCCAAACGACTATACTTTGTACCTTGTACCTCGGTCAATGGTGGGGGGGGGGCACCCCGAAAAATGCAAATGAACCTTCTCACCCAAAACCGGGATCGAACACGGGAGCTCTAAGTTAGCGAGCCAACATCAATTCACTTAACCACCGCGTCTCCGAAGTCCGACAACGATAAGAACATTGTTGTTGTTCTGAGTGTTTAACCTCCGCTTCCACCGAACGTGATATCGCAGACAAGTCTTATTTTCCATTTTTATTATCTTAGAGCACGCGCAGGGTTCTTTCCTGTGGGAGGAAACTGGAGTACCTGGAGTAAACCCACGAGGTTGAGAAGGCGCCCTGTCTCCAAGGCACATACGCTCACACCAGGAATCGAAACCACAGCCGCAAGCCAAAGGTGACTATCCAGCTAGGCCACCTAAACCCCCCGATAAGAACGGGAAATGAGTGTAATAAATACTCAGCGACAGCTTCTATTAATTAGCTTAATGTGGGACAAGTAAACAGAAGCCACTGAAGTTCGTGTCGTAAAACATGGCTTCCTTCACGAAATGTCTCCGGCTTTTCCTAAGATTGGAAATTATTATCACCTAAGTATGGCATATTGGTTTTGCAATAATTCTTAGATTATGGATAAAGGTGGACTGCTTATTCATTAAGAAAGATTGGATTAAACAATATCCTATGAGGTTGTCGGGCAATTTGGGGGCTAAATCTATTTGTTAAGGCGAGTTCAATTTTTGTCAAGGTCGCTGAGATGTAAATAAGGTTAGGGTATGATTGTTGGCGAGATTGTAGGTTAGGGTTAGGGTAAGCATTGGGGCTATGTCCTGGGTTAGGTTTAAGAATTTGGGAGGGTTCAGGCGAGCCAAATTCTGGCTAGACCACTTGGATTAGTGGGGGTGTTCTCGTGACGGACAGAAGGGGGGGGGGGAGGTGTCAGGTGGTACACATTCTTGCCAGATCACTTAAATTTGGATTCCGAATTTCATGATCAAGCCACAGGGCCCCAGATAGAATTAGCTTCCGTGACCAATTCCAGTACGTGGCCAATTCAAGTACGTGACCAATGCCAGTACGATGACTTATTCTGTATTCAAGCATGTGCGGAACTATTTGCTTTGATCCTCGGAATAAAATTCAATAACGTCACAATATGAGAGAAGTTTCATCGATTGTGACAAGACTACACGATGACCTTTCGAGGTGAGATTTTCAGATTTGGAATCTTAAATTACATGACAAGGCTGATATAACACATAATGACAACATATTTAATACACGACTTATTAACACGTCATTCATAATTCAAACATAGTGTTCATATTGTTCACAGGTCATTAAGCTAACCTGCTTCATCTTCTCCATTATCAACTTCTTATACATTCCAAAGCACATTTTTTTTAGATGTTCTTGACGTAATCCTCATCATAAGAAAACACATTTTCCCATTACAATTTAAAAGACCAAAAGAAAATCGTTTTAATCGGCACTGACATGGTGGCCATGTTCAGTGAGCATATAACGTGTATCGAGTCGGTTTTTATCTCGGCTGGTTACCGTCTCGGACCAACTTTTGTTTTAGATGTTCTTGACGTAAGTGCCTAAATCATCACCATAAGAAAACACATTTCCCTACTACAGTTTGAAAGACCAAAAAGAAAATCGTTTTAATCGACACTGACAAATATAGTCTTGTGGTGGCCATGTTCAATGAGTATATAACGAGCGTGTTTCCAGTCGGTTTTTATCTCGGCTTATTACCGTCTCGGACCAAACGCTGTCCGGTTTTAATACTATCTTTCAAAACCACATTTAACGACAAAAAAATCCACCGATGACGTAAGAATAGTGAATAGATCTTTCTATACACACAATTTCATTATTTGAAATCGATCCATATTATAATGAAAATAATGTTTAACCGAAAATGTCAAACCCACCCGGGTAAAATTAATAATGGATTGTTTTAAGAAAGGAGTATTCCCTATAGACGGAGTATTCTTGTTTGGAAAAAAGACCCAACAACACAAAATTCTCCAATATACACAGCCTAGTAGAATGAGCAAGAGAACGAATAACAATACAGATCTACATTTCGTTTCGTTTTTTTATACTTTCGATGGCCTATACCCCATGGGGATCTGGCTAGTTGTACATTGAGGTCACGTCAGGGGTCATACGAGCGGCTTTTGACCCTATTACACCAGACATTGATTAATCAATTAGAGTTGACGTTTCTAGGGGTTTACCCACAGTTCCGTGCACAGCTCGACAAGAACTCGCCGTAACAGATCGTTTCATTGGCTAATTCCCCACATCAACTAGAACGGATGTTATATAACAACACTTCCAGATCCTAGTGTTGCGAAGACAAGTAAAACGAAATTTTGAACTATAAAAAACGAAACGAAATAGGATCCGTGTTTTACTCAGATTGAACGAATAGTAGATTGTCTTAGGAAGTTTGGTCCGCGTACGTTTTATATATCTCACTGTTCCTTTTCATTATGTCCAAGCAGGGTCCTAGAAGACGCTCGAAGGATTCAGTTTCCAGGAAGGCTAGCTTCACGCTACCTACTGCCCGCACATTCGCCGATCTTGGTTTATTGTTGATCAAAGCCAGTTCCCCAAAATATTTACCGCTATCTAGTTGACCAACCGGCATTGTATTATCTCCTGTATCGCTAGTAATATCCACACAAACAGTTCCCTTTTCTATAAAGTACATGCCTTCAGCGTTATCTCCTTGAGCAATGATAACTTCTCCATCGTCGTATTCTTTGGTACAAAGCGCATCCGCTAGATTCATCCTTTCGTAGGGTTCCAGGGATTTCAGAATAGGAACATTTTCCAGCAGTTCTTCATAAAGCTTCCTTTTCTTGAATGCTGCCTTCAATACTATTCGTCTAAATGATGTCCTGTCCATGGCCCAGAGACTGCCGTGGCTCTTTGCTTGAATCGTTGCCGACCTGGGCATGTTGTACATCAGGGCAAGTTCGCCAAAACTTCCTTTGTTTATTAACGTATTGATCCGTTTCTCAACGTCATCTGTAGTAACCAGAACATCATACGTTCCAGAATCGATAACATAAAAATTATCCCCATCATCATTTTGCTTGATGATAATTTCGTCTGGCTCACAGATCTTCTCAAACATGGCGTCGATAACATCTCTAATTTGGTCTCTGTCTAAAGCTTGGAAGATTAGAATATCCGAAACAGCATCTTTCAGTCGCTTATACTGCTCATCTGTCTTTGGGTGGATGATCTTTTCATCTTCGTAGCCATGGTCCGTTTCGGGATCGTATCGTTCGGCAGAAACGGAATTCCGTCGCGCGGCTCTGTGGTTGTTGGTTTTTTTCCGAATCGTTTCTGGGGCTGGTTCACCAGCATCCTCATCATCCACGATTATATACATGGGAATTGTCTTCGATTTTTTGCTTTCTCGCATTTTGGTAAAATAGTCCACAGCAAAGTCATACAGATTATCAGGATTGGCGCGAATGGCCGACACAGTAAAGTCCCGGAGCATATCCCCTAGACCGTTCGGAATTTTGAAATTCATTTTTGTGAGCAATAATTACAGTATTCTGTGTATTGGATTAATTACCTAGTTGGTGACATTAACAGTTTCTGTAGCACACGGCGGATGTGTTAATATATCTCCACGGTTTCAATTAACAGAATTAACGCCTCTTGATATTATATCCCGTACAAACATATTTGTAACGAACAATCTATAATTAGAAAAAACACAGAGGAAAAAAAAATCTTTGTATCGTTTACAAAAATATTCTTGAATAAGTATTACCTTTAATCACACACACACATATATTTCGTTTAAACCACAGCCTTAATGGAAGTGAATTTTACGTATTCCTGTGACATATGGATTGAGTGATGCACTTGCGGTTTGTAAGTGAATCATTCAAATATTTAGCCCACGCAGAGATTTCCTCTTTTCAATGACAATAAATATCAATTTCTAACAACAAAACCAAGTTTGATATACAGGTACATAGCATAGTTATTCAGATTGTTTAATATCCTGGAAACGCCGATAGTTCCAATCGATATTGTGTTTTGTTCTCGGTGAGCATTTTAACATACAGAAAAACTCTTTGTCTATGTCGAAACGCGCATTCAATTCTGCGTCATGCTCTCATATACAGGAAATGTTTCATTATTCTGGATGGTTAGCTGGTCGTCCACCTGAAAAATAAAAATCATTAATTAATGAGTAAGTATCAGTGGTATATAACTATAAATTAAACGTCCTATTGCACATGTTATGAGAGAGAGAAAGAGAGAGAGGGGGGGAGAGAGAGATAAAGGCAACATTTTGGGACTAACATATGGTTCAATTTTGTTTCAATACTTTGCTTTCGCGTAGTGGTCGTTAGCAGTTGGAGGAAACCAGTGGACAGGCAACCCTACTCCTCGTTACGTTCAAGCTTTCCGGGGTGGTTTCTCCTTGTTAGTGGTGCAGGATGGAGGGCCTGGCAATGACAGCTGTCTAGTCGTCCGAATGGTACGAAAAGCCAAGGTCCAGCGTACACATTCGTGTGCACGTAACAGATCACTTGGTAGTTGGAATTAAATATAAGAGTAGGCCGTAGTGCCACAGTCCGGACAAAATTTCCAAAATAGACGGGTGAGATAATGTTTAACGGGATTATTTTTGGAACTAACATATGGTTCAATTATATATATCAATAATTCGCTTGCGCGTATTGGTCTTTAACAGTAGGAGAAAATCGAAGGACCCGGAGAATATGCACGAAGCTGGGCAGCCGATAGTACTCCTTGGCTCGTACAAGCGGGAAATCGAAACCACGCCACTTGAATCAATAACAGATCTTGTGATCTAACGCACACGCGTTAAACCATTCGGCCACCCCAAACCCGCTTGTGTCCTTTGTGCTATGAAAACCATACCTTGCCAGACAAACGAAACATACGCCCACAAGCAGCTTTAACGTTCAAGCTACAGTTAAAATTGACAACGAAGTCATACAGTGCTTTGAATAAAGATATCATTGGGTGTTTGATAATAAAATGACCTTCATCAGCAACGTTTAACCAGGATATTAACGTATACCTCGGCTCGAAGTCGATTCCTAACTGTGAATAATTCATTTATATACACGTGTCAGGATCTGCGACAAGGGGGAGACCACTCTGAAGAATCCAGAGATACATTCGACCAACATCGTGAAAGAGGCACTTGAAGGGATTATAATTTCTTGTCTCGATTACTACAATAGAGACAAGATATACCACACGCCATATTGTTTGACTCGGTGAAGACATTTCAGTGAGATAATCGTGGAAGAAATGTCTTCACCGAGTCAAAATAAAATGGCGTGGAGAGAGAGAGAGAGAGAGAGAGAGAGATTTAACGTCCACTCAACACTAGGTCATTTCGGGACTAACACATGGTTCAATTTTATTTCAATAATTCGCTTGCGAGTATGGGTCTTTAGCAGTGGGAGGAAACCGGAGGGCCCGGAGAAAACCCACGAGGTTGGACAGGCGGCCCTACCCCTTGTCACGTACAACCAGGGAATCAAAACCAGGCCAGTTGACTCAATGACAGACTTTATGATACAGCGCGCACGCGCTAACCATTCGGCCATCAACCGCCGCCCCCCTCCCCACACACACCGAAAATGGCGTGTGATATGTAAAATGCTAGACAAGATAATGTAAGAAATTTTAATCCGTTCATGTGGCTGTGATTGGTGGCTCCACAGAGCGTGAATTGATGGATGGACGGATAGGGTTAACATTAAAATATTGGCGTATAAAATCAACTTTAAAGTACTTTCTGTCATCTCCTAGCAATAACAATGATTATAGCCTACAGCATAATACAGCTCTGCAAGTAAATAAATGCTGACAGTTGATGGCATGAAAGGAATCTTCAGATATAAATAATGCATGCCCAGTCGTCGTCTTATGAGCTCATAAATCCAACATCCGTTAATATTCAAGATTTTGATATGTTTATAAATTGTTTTTGAATCACTTGGCTGAATTATATTTGATGAAATCTGGCATATTTCCATCATAGTTTTATAGATTTTTTAAAAATGTTTTTACATTTTTTTCCCACCATCATGTTGTTGTGTAGATGACATTATTATTATAAACCTATTACCTATAACGGTAAATCTATGCCGGGAATAACTTGCGGTCCGGTGCGGCTTTAATACATGGGAATTTGGGGTTATTCTTCTGAAAGTTTTTCTTAAAACCTGTAACGGGTTATTCTTCTGGGGTAGAGTTTTTTTTCATAAGAAAACATGAAATTCTGGGATATTCTCATTTTACGTACTTGCAAACACAGGCGGTTTATAAGCAAGATAAAGTCCTCGACTTCGGTTATGCTGGGGAAGAAAGACTTCAGAAAAAAATCCTTGACAGAAAAACCTCGGCATGCCAGCCTCGGTTTCCCTTTTTCTTCAGCCCTTCTTTCCCCAGCATAATCCCAGTCTCGTGCTTTACCCTACATTTCTAAAAGTTCTGAAAATAACGTGATTTCTGGCTCAACCGCGATGAGAAACGTTATTATGATCAAAATAATACATACATTTACGTCAAGCTACCACAGGAGTGTCACGAAAGCGGCGCCGTTTATCGAAAATATTCATAATTTGGCAAAAATCCACGTTAAGCAGGTTGTGAGATGTAGTGTATTAAATGAGGTTCATATCACCTCGAACCTTGTCATCATCTTGAGAGTTATCGCCCCTAAACAAAACCCTCAACGACTAAACACTCTGTCCATATTAACCAATAAACTTAAAACAATCAAATCGACCAAAAAACAAAAACAAAAAAAAAAAAAAAAAATATCAACATTATTTAAATATGCATTATGTAAGATTTAAAGATACATTATGTAAGATTTAAAGATACATTATGTAAGATTTAAAGATACATTATGTAAGATTTAAAGATACATTATGTAAGATTTAGATAAAGAGCTAGCCATTCTTGCTATAATAGTTCGAAAGTAGATGATGTAAAATGAATAATTTGAAAATTTCATTCAAATTACTCTATTACAAGCGAAGATAGTAGCCTTTGAAGGTTTGACAGACGTGTGCAATAATTTCAACCACCGTACTGGTTGATCGAAGCTAAGTCTCGGTCCTCCATATTTGATTAAATCAAAGTATCGCTGAACCATTCTAATCTATTTAATATCGGAGAAATCTGATGCCATCGAGAGTTGATTAAGGCCTGGATCAGTTAATTAATGTCGAATTAATACTTTAGAGAACATTTCAGGCCTAAAGAAAGACCTGCAATAGGCAGATTTAGCTCTTGCATAATGCATGTTTAAATAAAGAGCTGACAGTTTTGAAATAGATGATGAAAAGGGAGTATGTTGCAAGTTTCAGTCTAATTACTTAACATTTCGAGCGGAGTTATGACCGTTTGAAGAACAATGTAGTCTCGATTGACAAAAGACAACGTATAGTCGTTCGGATTGGACGTTTGCGTGTACGTGCACGCAATTGGAATTCATTATAAGCGTACACCATAGCGCCACTGTCTGGGCCAATCTTCCCTCATAACACACTGTATGTGGTATTCCCGTCTTCATTCGCTGAGTAGGAGAAGAGCAGTATGACTTTAGACCCCATTTCATTTCATTTCATATCTGCCATAAATAGAATTTAATTGTATTGCCATTAAATTTGATTGCTTTGGTTTTATCTCTGGAAAACATCTTACTCCAATTTAGTTGAAATCTTGTTTCTATGCTGTCCAATCTCTAAGAACATACGAAACTAACTAAACCAATTTCATTTGTAGCTGCATTTTAAAGCTTTGATTGCTTCTATGTCAGATAGAAGAATGATTGGACGCTAGTTCATTTAAAGAGCAATATGGTTGCTAATTTATAAAAACCTACTACCTCCAGCCTTTGCACGATTTAAAACATTACCATCTACATTTTATAAACTTCAATATTGCTAAAATACAATGTTGGAAACTTCTTATATTTGTTAGGATATCAAAATAACCTGGCCCCGAGTTCACAAAGCATTCTCAGACTTAAGTTGAGAATTTGCTCAACTTTCAATTACTGTTTATGAGAAATATCTTTGATCCAGAAACTTTGCACATAGTTTCTTGTTGATATATCTGATACATTAAAACAACAAAATTATTATAAAGGGCTATATTTTAGTTAAAATAAGGCGAACAATTTTGAGTAAATTCTCAACTTAAGTCTGAGAATGCTTTGTGAACACGGGGTCTGGATTTACATTAAGTGGTGTTATAGCGAGATAAAATAAGGACAGATGTTGCTAGGACCGCCGCAGCTGCAACTGTAAAAATGTCTACATTAATATTTAACAAGTATTATGACTTAAAGCTGATTAATGATGATAAATTATTCTGGTTAGCATCTAGATTTTTTGTCATAATAGATATAGGTTTAGTAATCGAAACCACTCATCATGCACCCGATTAGATTTTATTACATACTTCGAGAAGGTATTTGTTGAGTAATAAAACGTTCTAGTAGTTTATCGAGGGCTGGCCGTCCTTACCGCACGGTACAAATAAAACCTTCTAGTAGTTTATCGAGGTTCGGGTGCTTCCGGAGTCCAAAATGGCCGCTTTATATAATGAGAATTTTGGGGATAACTAACCCGAACCCTAACCCTTTTTAAAAGACTGAACTTGGGTCTAATTTAGTTTTTACTTCTCTTAAAAGGGTAAGGGTTAGGGTTCGGGTTAGTATTCCCCTAAATACTCATTTGTATAAAGCGGCCATTTTGGTATGAGTTCTGGCTTGTTCTGGAATTTGTTGCTTCTAGTGGTGATATTATTTGTACCGTGCGGTAAGGACGGCCAGCCCTCGATAAACTACTAGAAGGTTTTATTACTCAACAAATACCTTCTCGAAGAATGTAATAAAATCTAATCGGGTGCATCATGAGATTCGGTAATTCAGCTCGCTATTTCTTATAGAGTATTAATGACAATCGTAACGCTAACCCTGGTCTATTATTAGGCGGGTTGTGGAGGGGGGGGGGGGGTCATACGCCGAGGTGGGAAGGAGGGAGTTTTTCCTCAAGTCGAGTTGAGGAGGAGGAAGGGAGTCCACACGCCGAGTTTGACCCCACAAACCAGCGAAGGAGTGTCGCTGTCATGTCTATAAATGCTGGGAGCGAGAAATATAT